GGGGGGGGGGGGGGGGGGGGGGGGGGGGTCTATCGCCTTGCGCCCCCACAGTCCCCGGAGACTTGGAGAAGCGGCTTCTATAAATCTCCTCTCAATCTCATGTAGGCCTATAGAGCACTCCTATGAGTGCCGCACCGCTCCTCCTCCACTTAGTGTGTGGACTCAATCACTTGTTTCACAATTATTGAATTTAGCTCACAGACATTTCAGTGATGGCACACTTTGCTCAGTGGTGGCAGTCTATTAGCGAATGATCATTTTTCACCAGCGTTTTCAAACCGTTAAGATATTTTCATCACATGGGATATAGAAAAAATGATAAGGTCACTCTGAGGGCGTTTGCAAATGAGTTCTGCCCTAAATGTGGATACGTGATGTCAGTAATTGATCACGACCAAGCGAGCCCAGCCTTGTGGGGACCTCACAGCACAATTGAATAAGAACGTCCCGGGAATAGGTCTTGTTAACGGCTTCGCCAGTTCTGAGGTTGACTTTATTGTTGCCATAAATGTTGATATTTTGTTGTTCATTTCAATTTACTTGTTTTATTTCTTTTATTTTCCCCCATTCACACCCCACAACTGTATTCTTTTTCTCGTCCATGCTTGCCCCTTCTAAACTGCCACTGCCAGCGGGCTTTGTGAAATCACCTCTGTCTGAAACCAAGCTCACGGGCGACACCTTTGAGCTTTTCTGTGATGTAGTGGGAAACCCCACTCCTGAAATCCAGTGGTGGTACTCTGAGATCAATCGAGCCGATTCCTTCAGGCAGCTATGGGACGGGGCCCGCAAGCGGCGGGTGTCCATCAGCACCGTCTATGGTGTCGATGCAGTTAGTGTGCTGGGAGTATCCTATCTCACGCTGGACGACATCGGGACGTACGAGTGCAGAGCCAGCAACGACCCAAGACGCAACGACCTGCACATAAATCCCGCCACCACCTGGGTCCGCGCACAGGCTACGATAACCGTGCTGCAGAGTGAGTGGTCAGTGTGGTGGAAACATCCTCCCCTCTCCTGAGAGAAACCGAATTGAACAGTTCCTGTGTGATTCAGCCTCCCTCCCGACATCTTTAGAGGACCACTAACTCCCTTTGTAGGTGCCGCCTTCGTAGCGTCCTCATAGCACTGAAAAATAATGCGCCGCCGTTTGTGTTGATGTTCTCTTTTCAAGCAGATCTATCCGCTGTCCATGGATCCACAGCTACCATAGAACCCTTTATCTTTCCCGTGCTTTGTTCACTTTCATTGGCTCCCAATTTACAGATTCCTCTTTAAAATGGTTGGATGTTGCACAAAATGTCATTTGAGTTGTCTAACTTCTGTGGGATAGTTAACCCAAACTAAATCTCATGAGGGCAGGAAAAATGCAAGCCTCAAACGTTTATCTCATGGAAACAATTTAATTCAGTACAAACAAACCTCAAATGTCTGGATATGATTTCAAGACTGATTTTTGAATGCACATTAAGAGGTTCACCAGTGTGTCCATGTACAAACAAGATAATCAGGATTAGTCTGACTACAAACACCCAAATCAGGATTTTGCATGCTTTTGAGCACAAAGCTTCCCCAAGCAGAATTGTGGCGTTTACCTTTGAGTCACTCTTTGAAGTTATTCCATTGCAGATCTCACTTATAGGATACAGAATCTGAATGGTATTTTAAGTACATATAAAAGCAGTTTCATAATCACAGTGTGCTCAAATTTACGCTCAGTCACCACAATTTTACCAGATATTCATTCTACAGCCTTGAATGTACAAGATGTTGGCAATTTTTTTTTTGTACATTTTTGAGTGCCCATCTGAGGCCTCAATCACATTTTTCAAGTCGCCATCATAACTCACATTCAGAGTCAGCTCCACGTCTGTCTGGGCTAATCGGTGTCTTTCTTCCAGAGCCGTCAATCGCTGCCTCCGAGCACACGTCCCTTCCCGTAGAAGGCCACAGTCCACCTCTCACTCTGCAGTGCAACTTGAGCAGCAGCGACTATGCCGTCCTGGAGAGCTACTGGATGAAAAATGGGGAGGAGATCCCAGAAACACGCACTGCCAATCGGAACATCGAGTACAGGTAAGCGTCTCCTCAACTTAAGTGTGCGCATATGTTGCACGAGAGGTTTCGTGACATACTGTGAGTTCACTTGCAGGCTGAATAAACCGAGAGGAGATGACGCTGGTGTGTACATGTGCGTCTTCACTTTTGGGATGTCTCCTGCTGCCAACACCACGATTGAAGTTAAAGGTCTGTGCTGGTTTGTGAGCCGCAAGCCTTGTTCGATTCTTTTTTTTTTTTTTTCCTCCCCAAGGCCACATTGCTTATACCAATAAAACTGGCGCAAGGCACCCTCAAGAACGAGCAGGCTTGTCGGGGCAAGGGGAAGGACCTGCGATTTGCTCACGGGAAGCCGCAGCCCTTGACACCTCCGTCCAAACAGTGGCCAGCTCAGTGGCAGCAGATGGTGTCTTGTTTGTGTGATACACAGGGATTATGTCTCAACAACAGAATCGAATTGCACACACTCCCGTGGAGGGAAATTAGCATCACATGAGAAAATGATTGTGGTGTTGGACGGGAATGGCATACATACCCTTACTGGGTTTTGTGTTGACATTAAAATATAGGTTGCTCATACCGTTGCCATTTTTGGGTTCTCCTGAAATGTGATGATTTTGGAGGTGCAAGGATGTACGGTAAAGTATTCTATATATGTCTCAAATTGAATGTCAGCATTGTAACAAGACAGGCACAATGTTGGTTTTGATGTGTATATATTTTGTGAAAGCAGATCTTATTGTGTTCTCTGATCTTGTATTATCTATTTTTCTTTTAGCCGCTCCTGAGATTACAGGCCACAAGCGCAGTGAAAATAAGAATGAGGGCCAGCGTGCTTTGCTGTACTGTAAATCCGTGGGCTACCCTAATCCTAGCTGGACCTGGCGTAAACTTGAAAACGGCATATATAGGGTATGATATGTCTCTTTGTGTGACTTTCTGGACATAGTATACAGTCATACCTCAGTTTTCGACCTTAATCCGTTCCAGAAGGCGTCACTCCCTCGTGTAAGGAAGCCGAGAGGAGTCAGTGGCGCATTCGGGTTTGGTCGAAAACCGATTCTCGGTCGTAATCCGAGGCGAAAAATTATCTGGTCAAAAAACGATTTGGTTGAGAACAGAGACATTTGAAAACTGAGGTATGACTGTACTTTGTTTTTATTTCAGTAGGATGAAATAAGTTCTGTTCATTAGAAGCCTGATTCGGTTGTTGTTTTTAGTGCTTGATCAGCAACAAATTTGCCCAGACTTTATGAGAAGAATGAACTTTATGTAAGCATTAGATAAGATAACCTTATACTTAAATAAAAATTTGAACTACAAACCTGTAAAAGGAGGCCTTCACAGTTCAATAATCTATTAACAATTTGGACAGCTTGATTAAAACTCTGTAAGCTTTAAAAAAAAAAAAAAACACAGACAACAGCAATATTGCGCTACTACATGAATGTGACCGTCTCGATTTTGATTTGATAGGAAATCGACAACTCATCCGGACGCTTCTCCATCAGCAGCAAAGACAATTACACCGAGCTCAGCATCACCAATCTGGACATTAATTTGGACCCAGGCGAGTACCAGTGCAACGCCACCAATTTGATTGGCAGCAGTGACGAGAGGTCCGTGCTGAGAGTCCGCAGCCATTTGGCCCCCTTATGGCCTCTTTTGGGGGTGTTGGCTGAGATCATCATCCTGATCGTCATCATCGTTGTTTATGAGAAGCGTAAGAAGCCTGAGGATTTACAAGACGGTGAGTCACCAACCCTTTTGAGCTCTGTTTGCTATTTTAATCCTATTTATCGTGCCGGCGTTTTAAATACTTGTGTACAAGCGAGGAGAAACGATTGTCATGGAATTATAAAAAAAAAAAACATGATCAAGCACCAATTATTTTGAGGAATAGAACAACATAAAATGCACCAAGAGGGTCCGAGCGTGTGTGAGCATTCCTAGCTTTCCTTTCCCTGCTGATGCGATCGTTGCTGATGGTAATAATGTATGTCGCTGCAGTGTCTCTGCCGCAGAGCAGTTTGCGTGCCGCACAGCGATGCAGGAAAGTGGGATGCTTCCCATCACACACGCACACACTTGTCGAGGCAAGCGAGGCCAGTGTGCGCTCTGCACTCATCACAAGCCCTCAAAGCGTTCTCGCGATATTCCTTCACCGGAGAGACCAACTTGGCCACTTGACATGGCTGCGGCAGCATTCAAAAATTCAGTCGCACGGGGTTATATTCAAAGGCAGACACTGTCGCCGGAGGTTGCACCTTGTCAGGACAATTTCACGCATTTAATATTCATGAGAAATGGGAGACTGCGTTGTCGCGGAGATGGACGTTCTCAATGATTAATCGTGTCTCGGGGACTTTTCACGCGGCTAGTTGCTGTACGTGCAAGCAATAGATACAGTCACTGTTAAATTCTGCAAATGCCAACATGGGATTTTCCCACCCTACCGACGCCCTTCAGTCTTCTGCTGGATCCTAAATTATGCATCCATGGTATTTTGTCAACCTTTTACTTCCAAACTGGAATTTTGATATTGCCATATGGAGGAGTGATTCCTCTCCGACTTGCAATGACCGAACGTCATCACCTTTTCATGAAGATTCATTAGTTGAAATGCATTTGAAAAAAGTTTAAATATTGTCTTTTTATATTTCGTTTAGACATATCCGATGAACACTGCTCGCGTGAAGCAGGAATCCGAATTGGCGCGTCAATTGTTCATCATGAATGTTGTAACTGCATTGCCTTAAATTAGGCCACCTTCTTCTGCTGAATATTTTATTATTATCGTTATCTTCCTTTTTCCAATTGCCCAACCTAACGCTGTATTTGGTAAGTGTGAGACTGCATGCTTCAGCCTCATCCTCTCTCACTTCACAGGATAGAATTTGGGGAACTTTTGTGTTCAAATGATGCAATGCCTTGATTTTGACGCATTCGACGCATCCCTTCTTGCACATTGAAACCTTTTTACTTGTTTTGAGTCCATATTACTGTCATTGTTTCACATTCCCTCAGTAATTACCGAGGGCAAGTATTGTTGACACCTTTTTAGCAACGTTATTTGTCTATGCATGAAAATCGTATTGTTGCAATTTTACCCCGCATTTCATTTGTCTGTGAAATTTGATATTGTTCCGCACTGGACCGCATTCTGATAGTAACGTTACAAGGCTGCATTTTAATTGTTTCATTGCTCATAAATGAAATGTGAAATGAAAACTTTATAACATAATCTACCATCTGAAATACGCTTAGGCTGTGGACATGAAAAAAAAAACCCTTCAGTCCTTCATTTCCTTTTATTTGCACATCTCATTTTTGATCTTCATATTTCCCCTCGCTGCTTCAGATGATGACCCGGCAGGACCAGTGTAAGTATGAACATTTTCTCTGTCGAGCTTTGAGTAAACTTAAAAACGGAATTGTTGCTAGGCTAAGATGAAGTTCAGTGTAAAATCTTGACCTTTATTTGGGGGTGTGAAACGTTGCCGTGTGGTGATATTGACCTAGAAACTTGCATGTATTGTACCCGTTTTCCGACAAAGGGCTGTGTGATATGACAGTGGGTTAATGTGATGATCATAGCGTTTTTCCACCTGGAGGAAGCAATCCATCCTGCCACGTGACCAAATTGCATGCATTCTCTTTGAAGATGAGCAGAATATATCAACATGGAGGAAAACGAACAGGGCAGCCGTGACATGAGTGAGTGTTTTTGCAAGGCGCATCAGATTCTGTGAAACCATTCATTTCAGAAAATCTGTTACGGCGCAATACTCTGTTGCAATGGCTTCACCTACATGGGGACATAACAACCTTGTCATATCAAACAGCCTGAGGGAGGCACGCAGAAGACAAATTGTGCCGCGGTATAGCTTTCTATCAATTCCTTCGCGTATTATCAGCGAGATGGCATGAAGTTTAACAGAACATGTTGCTTTTGCAACACAGAAGTGTTGGTGTTTGAATGCACGGCATTGTATCAACTGTGATCCGCCGGTGTCATTTACTCCTTTCTAAAGGAAAACCAATTCGACCAACAACCACAAAGACAAGAACCTGCGCCAGAGGAATACAAATTGAGCCGCCTGTCTACAGAGTGAGTAGTCAATTATTAAAAGGACCAAACCGTCCGCCTGATGATAAATATGTATTACGAGCCCATAGGGACACATTACACAATGACCCAATGTGTGAAGTTAGCGCAGAATCATGACGTGTGGCAGGCTTACCCTGAGATGTGTTTTCATTTTATTTGCAGGTTACATTTTACATGTATTGACCACTTGAAGGTAAACAACAAATGGAATCGACGCCAGCTGTTGCTAGAATATTTCTGCCATTCAAAGTGTGGTTGAATGAGGCATGCCTTATGATTTTTTTTTTTTCTGGTGTTTTCTGGCGCGAGATGCTCTTATTCATTCATATCCTGACGGGATTGTTACCATCAACCATTGTTACTGCATGCAAACAGTGGCGTGTATGATTTAGTTGCTCTCCCCCTCTTATTCGCTACTTTTACACTTTTACTACTTAGAAAATAATTGCATGCGAGATGTTGGCCCGCGACTCGAGACAGCTTTTTCTCCTGTATATTTATTTATTTTTCCTCTCAACGCGACTTAAATGAGATAATCTATACATTTCAAGAGAGAAAATGATCACCTTTCAGCAATGTAGAAAATGACGCCATCAGATATGGCAGTTTTGTACGGTTTTATCATGCGGCTGCATATCAATTACCTAAGATTCATCATAATATTAACACTACATTTCAAGGGCTTTGCAACGTCCCTCTAAGATTCCATTTATGTATGTATGTACGAATCACTAGAGCTATGTACTGATGATAAATAGTATGATGCACTTAAATGTTGACAATAATGGGAACCTGTACAAACCTATTTTATGAAATCTGTAACTATCATTCTAACATTGTTTTGTCATGACAGTGTGTATTGTACAGCATGGCTTTTCTCCTATGCAACTAATATCCATACAAAACATTGCAGCTTTTATTTATTTTTTTTCTTTCTGTGACAAAGCTTTAAACTATAGTAGGATCATCTATAGGGCATAGACGTTGTAGTACACTGCTGCATGGTTTCTGTACAGCGGACGGGATTGGACAGCCTGCTACACAAATTCTCGAGTCATTTTTAAGAATAAACATTTGAAAGAAAAAAAACCACTGGCTTTGATCTGGTTTCTTTGCCTAACCAGTTAAAAAAGGGTCACTAGCAACGCCGAACAGGAGGATTTTTGTATTACAGCGCACTCTAGTGGCTGCAACGGGTCAGTGGACGTCAACGATGACTGATATCAAGAAGAGCAAAATGGTGCTTGAGTCAAATAAATAATCTTAGGCCTGCCTACTGTAATAGAATGAATGTACTTTGTTATATTTTCATATGAAAATACTCTGTTCTTATTTGAATTGCCGAATCTAAACAACAACCGTCACTTTCCCTTCTGGTTATCCTGATGGAGTCTCTCAAATCACAACTTTTTACCAGAAGTCATAACCCCTCTTTTTTTTTTTTTTAGTTTCCCCAACTGTCTACAGAAGTTCCCGCGATTGTTTTTTTTTTTTTTTAGTTTCCCCAACTGTCTACAGAAGTTCCCGCGATTGTTTTTTTTTTTTTTTAGTTTCCCCAACTGTCTACAGAAGTTCCCGCGATTGTTTTTTTTTTTTTTTAGTTTCCCCAACTGTCTACAGAAGTTCCCGCGATTGTTTTTTTTTTTTTTTAGTTTCCCCAACTGTCTACAGAAGTTCCCGCGATTGTTTTTTTTTTTAATTGTATTTTAAAGCCCTAAATTAGATGCGGACAGATTGAAGAGGTGACGATGAAAGCCCCCTGGATGAAAGTCCGGGGATCAAGATGTATTATCCCTTTGGGATTATGGATAAATGGAGGTGAAAAGTCAAACATCCATGATAAGAGTGGTGAGCATGCATACAGGTCGTCGGCGCACTTAACGCACACGTGTGCAGTTGTGGAGTAGACCTCATTCAAACTTAGAGCTCTTTCTGTTCGCAAGGAGGTACCTGCTGTCTGAATAACATCGCCACAATAAATTCGATTTTATACACCCTACGTCTACACAGGCAAAATATTGAAACTTTAAAGGGGAAGGACGGTTGGGTACTGTAAGTACATACTAGATTTTTTTGGTGCGCGGGGGGGGGGGTTCTACTTTATTCTGGAACCTTCATTCAGCTTGCAGTCAATGGAGGCAAGATGCATCAACTTCAACTAAAAAGGCGGGGGGGAAGCAAAAAAAGGACAACACAACCGTGACACAAAGACAATCAAAACACAATTTCACTTTTGTCTAAATAAAGGGATGGCGTTCTTGTTTAAAGCTTGTAATTGACGGTGTGTTGTTTTTTTTCCCAGAATAATCAGTGCAGCATCGCTCTGTTGCTCACGTTCTCAGCTGCACTCTGACAAACAGCTGTCCACGCAGCACACATGGCACAGAATTAGATGATTAAAGATCGAGTGATCTGCTTAAATATGGAGGATTTGTTGGCAGTTTGTAAGAGACTCTATCCATTAAGTGGCACATGCCTAAAGCTGCACTATGGCCAAATTAATCTTGCCCGGTACAGTATTTTGAAATCCAAAATAAAGGAAAGAAATGGGATTCCAATTCTCAAAATCTAACTACACACACAGACTTTGAGGACTGATGATTATTAGTTACTTTTTGCGCACTACTGACTGATTTAAGTTTCGTATCGCCTTCAACTCGTGCAATTTGACATTATTGTTGAATTAAAGGGGAGGAGCAATCTTTTAAAGAATGGAGTGGAACCGTGAAAGACCACTGCAAACCATTACGGGATGCTGGCTCGCCTAAGATTTGTTCAGATTTTGAAACTATTATTTCTCATAAAAAAATAAATAAAAATAATGGGAACAAAGTCAAACTTTACAAGCAATTTTATAGTGGCAGCTCCTCCTTCAATAATGTGTCTGCAGAGACAAATCTCGTGAACGTTTTCCTCACGTTTGCTACTATAAAGTTGCTCCAGTGTTTGTTTCTTTACCAACAATTTGCTGCCTGCCATCCGTTAATTTGGTGATTCTCAACCATGGTGCTCTGAGAGAGTAGCGATACAATTTCACCCAATTTGTCCAACTTTTTAAAATTCAATTTTTCTTTGATCTATCTATGCCACCCACGTATTTTGAGAGGCAGAATATATAAATGGTTTTCCACGAGATGTACAATTAATAGTTACAGCTGCATGTGTGTGTTAATCAAATAGGCCCAGATTTTATTAAGGGCTGTTACTATTGAATATTTTTTAAATCAATTTTTAATTCGCAAAAGTTATTTTGCATCTGTGTATTACAAAATCACTTATCCCCCGATTATTTTTTGTCAACTAATTATTGTTGTTTATTTGGTATTGTTTAGTGATTATCGAGCAATATCACATGAGAGGGTTTGATGTTGTATACTTGCCAAACGTTTTGAAAACTGATCCAATTACTGGTTGGGTCTTTGCTTTCCAAAATAAAAGCAGATGTTTTGTAAATGTCCTGCTTTCATGAATGATGACAGAAATCAGAATAATTACTGTTGACTGGCTGAAATCAGACTGGTGGGACAGTTTTAAGTTAAACAATAGCTCTAAACGATGACTCAAATATTTGTTGATTAATTGGATAGTCGATAAGTTCATTAATAGGTAAATTTTGGCACCCCTAGATTAGACCTTTAAGTAATTTTGTTACACTATACTATACTTTTTTATATTTTTTTTTGTTAGGTTGTGTATCGTGAACAATATGCCAATATGCGCCTTTGTTCAATAAAGGTTAAGAAACAGGAGATTGTGCAAATTTACCTCATGTCGAGGCGTTTGATGGATCAGGGCCGTCAGGAAGCATGTGCCATGTGCGTGCATGCGTGCCACCACCTTGTTGCTGACACCGCGCATTTATCCCGTAGGGGGGTGGAGACCATGCTTTGTCATTGAGGAGCTCAGTATCAGCAGCGGCAGTTGTAACATTCTTTCAGTCCTCCTGCACTTCCGATGCTCAGCACGCTGCATCCCGATGCAGTCTCGTCGACACGCTGTGGATCGACACGCTTTCCCCCTTTGCCTCCTACACACACGGCGGACTTTGATTGTTGACGCATCTCCAATGTTTGGACCCGGGCTGGCGTGGAAACGCGAAGGCACGTCCCAAGTGTCAAATACGGACCCGTCCTGCCGATGCGCCTCCTCCGTGTTTTGCTTTCGGTGGCACTCCAAATGCATGACACCTTTATGATTCACCCCCCTGCTCCTTCCCGCTGTGCTCCGCTCCTGTAAACAAATGGAAAGGTTCCAGTGTTCCATGCGCAAGCGGCTCTACAGCCTGCCGCAAAACATCGGGCAAAGACCTTTTGCGGTGGACGAAGGAGACAGCGGCGACAAGGACACGAAGAGGAAAAGTATTCTGCTGAGACACTTGTCCTCTTTGTCTCCCGCAAGCAGTTGCAGGAGCATCGAGGAGGGCGGTACGAATGCCGCCGGGAAGACCAACTTGAACGGGGACTGTCGCCGTTTCAGGGGCAGCGTCTCTTCCATCAGCGGGCGTCATTTTACCGGGTCAGATGCGGCGGAGCAGCGCCGCCTCATCCCGGAAGTGGACGCGGGTGTCGGGGACGGTTCCCCCGGAGAGCGCGGCCCGGCAACGGGGGGTCTGAGCGACGCGGCGGCCGGTCAGTCGTCGGTGTTTGACCAGACGAGTTTCATCAAGTTGGAAGGTACCGAGCAAATTATCCCCGAGGATGAGCGGCTCTACCAAGCCGGATTCATGCATCGGCAGTTTGGGGCGATGCTCCAACCGGGAGTCAACAAGTTCTCTCTGCGGATGTTGGGCAGTGAGAGGGCCGTGGAGCACGAAAGGGAGCGTGTCAAATCTGCTGGATTCTGGATTATACACCCATACAGTGATTTTAGGTAATTCATGCGCAGTCCCTGAAAGTTTTACACATCTTCTGGAATTACAAATACACCTGTGGTTACATTCTATCAAGTACAAGAAGTGTATTAATATTAATGCATTACTAAAAACGAAATGCTTTGCATTGGTTGAAATACTAAGACAGATCATGTTTTTTCATTGTTGTGCTAATGTGGTATCGAGCTGCACTGGTTCAGACTTGAATGAAGGCTAACATTTTAGACAGAGCCCTGTGTAATTCTCCACCTCTGCAAATCACAATAACAGCATATCAACCAATTAATTCCACACGGCTGGCATTCTTATGCCATTATGATCACTTTAAAAGCAGAGTTCCAGTCATTAGGTTGCGTCAGTTTCACTAATGGCTTGGCAAATTATCAGTGTTTGTGTTTCCCCAGTCACAAACTATCACAATCAGATGGGCGAGCTAATACAGCGATTGTGCTACAATAATCTGACTGTCGAGAAAAGTGTCATAATTTCTAAAAATGACCGTCGACTGAAGACTTCACACATACTGTGAAGGCCACTCTCGCAGGAAATCAATTCATGTCCGCTAAATGATCTTAATAGGATCCAAAACATCTGAAAAGCACAATCGCATTTGATCAACTCTGGCTCCGCAGGAACATTTATCCCGAGTGATCCAACCAGCCAGTTTTCCCTAAAATGAAATGTTTGTATCAAACATTCATATTGCAATCCAGTTGTTTTTGAGGCAGTCTTACACACTTGATAGGTTTCGGCATGCCATCATCATCATCCTGTTTTGACATCCATCCTGGAAACTCGGCCATCCTACTTTGTTGTACAGAAATGTGTGTCACTGCTGTTTTTCCTCCACTCATCTGAATTACCCTTTTTTTTAATACATATATATAATTTAGTGAGACCAGTGGATTAGATTAGAGGGAATGCAGCAGGAGCTTGGAAATGGGGTAATCAAAATAGGGTAACATGACCATTCAAGATATTAGAAGCACACATCAGGCGGGATTATTACAGCACAATTAGTTTAATGGAGTGGAGATGTGGATGGGGCCCGGTGCCACCCGCAACACACTGACATTAGACGGACAGAAAGAGAGAGATTGGAATGGAATCAAGACACCCAGCTGTTTGCTCTGTGTTGTGTGCTAGGTGTCATGGCATCACGCTAGAATGGTACATTAGGACATGCAGCCTACCCAACAACCCCCCCCCCACCCCCACCCCCCTCACACTTTTTAGTGCACACTCTGAATATTGCAGTCGCTGCTGTATTGTTGCTTTTCTGCTCATGCAATTTAGTTTTCCCGTCATAGAAATAATGCTGGGCGATATGCAAAAACGCTTCTGTCACCATTTAGGCCATTTTATATCACGATAACATGAGACCACGATTTGGTTTCAGTTATTCTACAAAACCTTATATGACACACTATGACCGCTTGTCTTTTCTGACATTAAACAGACCTGTGCCAAATGAGAAATGGGTCCAGTAGTCCTAATGCTGCTATCTGAAATAATCAAATGTAAACGGAAGTAGCCCACATATTTTTGCACAAATGTAAATATCAATGGAACCCTTTCAGGGACAGCGGTTACGATAGTGGACAGCTTTTCATGTTATCAGGTTACACGGTCCATGAAAGGGTGAAATAATAGGCTTAAAAAAATAATGTTTCTGACATAAATTGATTTAAAAAATACATTAAAAAGATGAGCTTGACTGTAATATAATTTTAAGAACATTTATTGCGCAGATCTCAAAAGTCACAATCCAAACTCGGAACAGTATTGTGAAAACAAATTAGTTATATATGCATCCATTTTGGGAATAATTTTTATCCTAAAAATTAATATCCTTTTAACTTTCTTCTTTTTTTATTGACAGAATATTCAATTTTGCAGTTCGATAACATTTCCTATGTCAATACAAAAATGAATTGATATACTTTCAATGTTTTATAACACTCCTCACGGGTGACTGACGAAACACGGGACCATTTCTTACTATGTGTGTAGTATTATTTTCAATTTAATTTTTTTCTCAAGACACTTATTACATTTCCTGCTCTTTTGCTGCTCATGTTTGCACACGCAGTTCCGGCGGGACCTCTGTGGAATGTACTCTCACTCAAGCACTTAATTCGGTCTTTCACTCTCGATAATATTGCGTTATTTTAGGAAGTTTCATAATTTCCTCTGATAATGACTCCTCGTCATCCCTTTGTAAGGCCGATACTTGAAAGAAGTTTTGTTTATTCTCACAATGGAGGCGAATTGATGGAGGCTGCGATTCATTAGTTAGGGTCGAACCCACAACGGCTTGAGCAGGCAGTAGTCGAAGCTTGTTGCTAAACTTGCTATCGCTAGCTCGCCGTTACGCCGTCTTGCTTCGACATGCCGTCTTACCGGGCTGCAGGTAACATAAGCAGATCAACGAGCCTTTTTGGAATGGTCATCACCATTGAGGAAAGAAATACTTAAAAATATGTTCTCAGTTTTGTCATCCGTTGTGTTTTGCTAAGGCTCAAAATGCAAACTGCTTTCTAGTTTGAAGGTGTACCTAGCATGCCTTGATGGCCTTTTTTTTTTTAAAGTTCTTACTAATTACGGGTTTGTTGTTGTTAGTTTATTCTTTCCTAAGGCAGTAGTAGTTGTTGTTATTATTATTAATTTCATTGTCTCTTAGATTTAATTTTGCATTTAGTATGACCGTTTAAGTGATTCACTTCCTCGTGTTATTTTACAGTCTTTCAGTTGATGGCAGTCGTGTGGTACAAGAAACTTGAGTCAAAACTGTGGTTCATCAAATCAAGCGTCCTCTGATAATTTTGTTAAATGCAGCAGAAGACGATAGACAATTGACACGTCATATTACCCAGTACTTCATCGGAATGTGAAAAACATTCTTTGTTAGCCTCCATTATTTATCTGTTTTCTATACCGCTTGTCCTCATTTAGGTTGGGGTATGCTGAAGCCAATTCCAGCTACATTTGGCTCAAAAGTAGGCAACACCCTGAATTGATCTCCAGTCAGTTGCAGTGAACTTAAAGACAAAGAATAATTCACCCTTGTGGAACCTTTAGCTTGCACTTAACCAAACATGCTTGTTTTTGGAATGTGTGAAGAGGGAGAACACGCAAACGCCACACAGGAAGTTCAGAGTCAACATTTGTACCCTGAACCTGAACCTCAAATATCAGGCAAATGTGTGAACCACCAAATTACTGTGCAGCTCCATTTTTCTGTCAACATAGAAATCAAAGCACCCAAAAAACAAAATAAGTAAAAAGCAAGAAAATAGTACAATGGGTGAATCGATTCGACCAAAGTCGTCATTTTGCTAAAATGACTTCATATCCAAATGTAGTAGGCTCACACACGCATCCATCACGGCTGTGCCCTTTTTCAACCGCTGTGTCATGAATGGCTGCTGTCTTTTATTATGACTGCGGTGGATATAGCAGCAGACGCTCTGGACTCGCTCGCATGGTAATACGACTGAGCCTCAGTCAGTACAGGTGTGTGTTAAGCCACCGAGCTGATGCAGGCTGTTGCGCTTCAGCTGCAGTCTGGCAACAAGAGATAAGCATCTCCAGTACAAATGTGATCCCTTTTTATTTCAGCTGTCCCTGATTGATCTAAGCTCCTTTCACCATTTTTTAAGCCTTTTTGTGTTCACTTTGCTTATAACTCCTCTCTCTTTGTGCTCTCGTGCTTTTTAACCGAGTTGCACTCTGACCCAAATCGTGCAAGATTCCTCTCCGCAGAGGTGCGCCGTCCCCACAACTGCGAGCTTTATTTTGAGGCACGTGGCAGGATTGCACCAGCTCGTTGCCTGATCTCTGTGGCTCGAATGCTGCGTGCACAGTCAGCTGATGAGCCAAGAGGAGGGTCCGTAAAAGGGGGGGACGGTAATGCACTGTCCCCTGCACACTTTATTTTTTATTTTTGTGTGGTCCAGCTGTTCCGATGTTCTGCAGCGCAGTGACGTGTGCAGAGCGGTAATGCTAACTACTCAACATCTGGCTGATGGGAGCTGACTTCTGGAGTTGACATGGATTCCCAGGAGATAACGGTGGATTTAGCCAGAGAGGGGATGAGCAATTAGGACCACTGTGTCACTGCAGCCACAACGGGCAGATGACGGGAGTAATGCAAATGCTTTGTTTAACAGACAACTGAAGGAAGTAATGGAAAGAGGAGCAATCTTATCATCTTGCACATGAATTAGCAGCGCCTTCACGAGACAAAAATGTCAGCGTTTGGAGTTTCTTCAAGGGAAAAAACAAATCATGCTTGTGACCATTTTTCATTCATCCAGGTCGTGTCATTCTCAGGGCATTGAATGGATCCCAAACGAATCGGTTCTGGTCGTCTTGGAAGACATTTCGCCTCTCAACCGAGCAGGTTTCATCCGTCACGCAACAAGGTTTGGTGCAATCCTAACCAAGCCTTGTTGGATGAGCTGTTTAAATCTGCTCAGATGAAAGATGAAACATCTTCGAAGATAACCAGAACCGTCCAGAGCAAGTTAGAGAGATCGGGGCTGAACACGTGATTTCACCTGATCGGGGCAAAAAGATGATTTTTGGTCATTTCCTGTATTTTTAAAGATCATAAATTGACCAAATAATCCAAAGATATCAAGAGTTTGCCAATAGGAACAGTAACAGCTTAATTTCATATTACACAATGTTATTTTTTTGGGGGTGGGGTGGGGTGGGGTGGGTAGCCATCAGAGTTGGTGTAAGAGTGCTACACACACACACACACACACACACACACACGCATATATAGGCATCTCTGCCTGCGCACAGTGCTCCGCTTTACACTGCAGCAGAGTCTAAATTGTATTTGGAGTAGTCAGGAGACGATTTGAAAACATTCATTTGGATTTGCGATATTTTTGTTCTTCATGTATTGCTAACTTCTCAAATGTTTTTCGAACGTGGGAGATTGCCACAGAGCAAGCAGAAACGACCAAACCGAGATTCGCTAACCAAATGCTCCGCCTTGCCCGATTTGTACCAACATCGTGAAAGTTTATACGTACGTTGTCATTCCTGTCTTTAATTTGACATCTTCCCTCAACAACAAGAGACGCAATCATATTTTCGTAAACACCTCAAACATGGCTCATTTGATTTGATTTTGTCATATTTTCATTGCTGGTGGATGGTTACCTGACAGTTTTGTTAAGTTGGTGGTTATTGCCTTGTAAGTGTTCCAAGCCTTCCAAGTCTTAATTCATGTCAAGTGAACTGTATCATACAACCAGCGCTTCGGCCTACAAACTTACCACCTGTACCCAGCACATGATTACAGCCTCACCGAAACACAGTTTCCCCTTAGGTCTTCTTTTTCTCCCGTTATCATCATTACGGATCGATTTGCTGCCATCATGAGCACTCTCCTCATCGCAAGCTGCTCATACGTATTCAGGCATAGATTACAGTGACACTTGTTGACAGGAGGGTGGAAGCCTCATTTAATTAGCTCTGTTTAAAGTGAATCTTGCACCCATCAATGTTCATCCCTCGTCAAACAAGTTGGTCTTGAGGATACGGCGTGTTAGTGCGCCCTCACATGTCACAAGTGCCTTTAGGGGGTGGGGGCCGTCTTTGGAGGCTGTTGATTCGCGCTCGCCGCCGCTGGCGCAAGTGTGCAGGTGTGTCAGGCCGCTGGTTGATCGATTCGAGGTTAATTAGTTCTCCAGGATGGATTGCGCGTGCGCTCGCACGCCCAAGATTGTATTCACGTGGAGGTTTTCCTCGGCTTGGCTGAGATGCATTGGACTGATTATTGCTGCGCTTAGTGCCGCATTTAGATTGAAATCACTCTTTCTAAAAGGTCCTTCATACATCAGCTACTTCAAGGAGAAATTTAATGCAGCGTGCAAAAACAAAAGGCGGTGTAGATATGATGACCAGAATCAATTGGCCACGCAGCTCGAGATGGAACAGAACGCGCCGGTGCTGATTCCTGGAGCGGTGAGTCAGGTGTGGAAAATCTATATTTTCTTATGGGTTGCAAATCAGATGGACTTTTAGTCTCCATCCTCGTGCCCTGAAGCGCAGTGTTGGACAAAAATAGAGGCAGCACATTCTCAGAGATATTCAGCAGGATATGATGCAGAAGTTGAGCAAAGTTCGACATGTAAGCTGAAAGTATTTTTCAACAGCATGCGTATTGCTTCACCTGTCGTGGCTATGTGCGAAACACCACAGCTTGAGTAATAATTTGCCAAAATCGGATACAGTCTTGTAGCAAGTGTATCTGTTAACCCCTTTGTGTTTTCTCAAGCCTAGCTTAATTATCAACAATGATTCCCTAACCACTGTGCCACGGAACATTAGCGAGAGCAGTTATACCGCGCGAGATGATTCAATTTGACTTCATTGGTCCCAAAATATTTACAACAAATATCTTATTTGTTCATATTTCTATGTCAGCCCACAATTGAATGCGCTTCAACAAAAAACAGAAAGTACAAGAAACCTTTGTTTCCGTTTGTTGCCATTTATCTAACAGATTAAGTCGTTGCTTGCTGAGCACATGGAACGTGTCAGATTTCAAACCCAAACTGCAAACTATACATTTTCCCCATCAGTGTGTGCCTGACGATCAGCCAACCAAAACAAATACTGCTCCGCTTGCTTCATCTGGTGTCCGAGAAGAGCCGAGAGTTCTAGGAGGAAAACCTGTGGCCGCCTTACCATGACAATGAGCAATGCCTTGAGCATCTGACAGTTCCTGCCTGAGAAGAGCATCACCGAACTGGAGCAATTTCTCTAATTACCCAACCTGCCTCCTTGTAATTTTTTTTCCTCCCTCCCAAGTTTAAGAACGTTATGAAGTAACTGACTCGCAACAGTTCGACGCATCGTTTTCCCTGCTGCCAATAATGTGTTCACAAACTGTTTCCCACGCGGGCTGCGTGGGTGTTTCTGTCTGTTTTAGATTCTACTGGGATCTGACCATGCTGCTTCTGATGGTGGGAAACCTCATCATCATCCCCGTTGGCATCACCTTCTTTAAGGACGAGCACACGCCGCCCTGGATCGTCTTCAACGTCGTCTCGGACACTTTTTTCCTGATGGACCTGGTCCTCAACTTTCGCACGGGTATCGTCAAGGAGGACAACACGGAGATCATTCTGGACCCGCAAAAGATCAAGATCAAGTACTTGAAGAGCTGGTTTGTGGTGGATTTCATCTCCTCTATACCCGTGGACTACATCTTTCTCATCGTAGAGACTCGCATTGACTCGGATTTTTACAAGACTGCGCGAGCGCTGAGGATCGTGCGCTTCACCAAAATCCTCAGTCTCCTTCGCCTGCTACGCCTCTCCAGACTCATCCGCTACATCCACCAGTGGGAGGAGGTACACTGAACACAAATTGACTGTAATGAATGATAAACTGTATTTCCCCCCCTCACCTACTGATTAGTTAGTTACACCCAGCGGTGCCGTAAAGGAGGGAAAAGTAGAGCCCGGACTGAGATTGTTTTCTTGAGCCCCGAGTCCCTCGCTACGCCACTGTGTGTGCACCCGCACTATAATGAGACCCCCACACCGACTCCCCGAAAAAAATGTTGACATTAGTCTGAGACTGTTGATAATATCACTATGAAGTGCCTTTGCTGTCCTCATCAGAATCACAATGTCATCACCAAGTGTGACAAAATAATGAAGCTCAAGCATTTTATTGGAAGTGGCCAAACATTTTCACACATGCCAGGACAGTGCTAAGTCTCGTAAGATCGGTTTTCTTCATTTTCCCTATTTTATTTTCCATTAGGTAGACAGTATGTGATTTTTGGCATGTCCCACACATTATGGCACAGGTGTCAAAGTCAAGGCCCGGGGGGCCAGATCTGGCCCGCCACATCATTCTATATGGCCCGCGAATGCAAATCAAGCATGTCAAGTTCCATGATGGTTGCTAAAGTCTGAACCAAAATTTCAAATTGTCATATGTAATCCACAATAACAGTCATTATTCTTGACTTCTGATTTAAAAAGTAGTTATTCATCAATTTGTTGTGCGCTGTGTATGTAATATGTGGAGGGGATTAAACATTTATATGGTTTCCCAAAATTCATAGCGGCCCTCCAAGGGAAACCCTAACTACAATGTGGCCCGCGACAAAAATGAGTTTGACACCCCTGCATTATGGGATAGGTGCATCGTCAATATTTACATATCTTGTAATTTTTTAAATGATACGATGTGTATCGCTAGATGTTGTCAAATTTACCAGATCGAATCATCTGTCATTGTGAAATATCAAATGATTAAAAATCTCAAATCTGAAAAAAATATTTGCTAAACATTACACAGTCAGCTTGCGAATTGAATCATCAAGTGAAGGTCCGCAATGTGATCATAAAATGCTAACATTAGCTTAAATTGAACACACACACATACACACACAAAAAAAGTGCAGATAGTCAAGCAATGTGTATTTCTGGCAACATCTCTACTTCATACAAATGAATATGAAGTTCACTGGAAAACCTCAGATTTTTATGGGTGAAATGAGGAAGACACAGTCTTTTTATTTTGGCACAATTGTCCTTGTAAGTGCAGCAGTGCAAAATTGCAATAGAGTTTACATTTGCCTCTTATGTATTGAAAAGAGGGAACATGTTTGTTATTGCCATAGGTTAATTTCGGAAATTCTTTACAATATAAAGTATTTTTTAAACATTAATAAGTCAATATTGTATGTCGAGTACTCTCTTGAGACTTAAAAACAAACCATCACACTTATTTTATAATAATCTTTCCCAACACCTTTTAATTCATACACTTAACGTCATGCTGCATTTCCCATGGGACAATAATATTGGTGGCAGGTTATTACGCAATATTGGACTAGCCTTTTGTTCTCTACAGAAGATTAAGAGCACTATGGTCCGCTATAGGACAACTGTCGCCATCGGCATACAGAGAAAAGAACAGACTCCATTTTGCAAATCCTCTCATTGCATGAGTGAGAATTCCAATTTCATAGATTTATTTACAAAGAGATATTCATCACATTGTTTCACATCCATTAATGATGATAATCTGTGTGTGTGTGTGTGTGTGTGTGTGTGTGCGTGTGTGTGTGTGTGTGTGTGTGTGTGTGTGTGTGTGTGTGTGTGTGTGTGTGTGTGTGTGTGTGTGTGTGTTTGTTGTGTGTCAGGTTTTCCATATGACCTATGACCTGGCCAGTGCTATGGTGCGTATCATGAACCTGATTGGTATGATGCTGCTGCTGTGTCACTGGGACGGCTGTCTGCAATTTCTGGTTCCCATGCTTCAGGACTTCCCTCCCGATTGTTGGGTCACTCGAAATAAGATGGTGGTAGGTTTGTTGTTTTTATTCACGAGCTTCTCGGACCGAACACCTTGACAGAAAAAAAAGATTGTGATGCATACCGGTGACAGGCTGTCATTTTGTACCTGGTCCTTAAGTTGTGACCGACCTGATTTTTATATTATGTAGCACATAACTAAAGTTTTGCTCGTACCAACTAACCCGAGGACATCAAATGCTGACATCATCATTTTCCCCCTCCAGAATGACACGTGGGGTCAGCAATATTCTTACGCCCTCTTCAAAGCCATGAGCCACATGCTGTGCATCGGTTACGGGCTGTACCCGCCCATAGGAATGGCCGACGTGTGGCTCACCATCCTCAGCATGATTGTGGGCGCAACCTGCTTTGCCATGTTTGTGGGGCACGCCACTGCCCTCATTCAGTCACTGGACTCCTCCAGGAGGCAGTACCAAGAAAAGGTAGGAGGCCACTAGTCGTCAATGCACCGCAATGACTTTTCAGGTCAAAGAGATGAAATATTGAGGATGGATGTGACACCGCAGTTTTTGGGGTGGTGGATATGTGCGTGGCTTACACTGACCTCTACACAACGGAGAAATACACTCACTGGACACTCTTTTGGTCATGAAAAGTGAATTTAATCTGCTATAATCGTCATCATTCTTTGCAGAGGATAAAAAAATCTATGCCTTTGATATATTGGGTGTAGTATTTCCCATTATGTGTGAGCATTTACGGATTTAAATGTAAAGTTATGTTTGTTTTCAATACACAACATATTTCTCTCACCCCTTTGCTCTAGTTTGCCAGTAAACTTAACTGGGAGTGGCAATAAACAGTTTGAAGGCTCTTTTTCTGCCAAACCGTGAATGAAAAGTCATACCTGGGGGAAAAAAAAGTGGTCACTCGTATCTCAACGGAGAAAGGGTCGAGTGCCGGCGTATAGTGAAAGGTAGACCTACAGCAGAACAAAAACAAATATAGGTCGGATCCATTTTCCATCCGTGGTGTTTTGCAGCAAGAGTACATGGCTGAAGGACACAGTAGTTAATAACATTAGCCGCAGCCTGCAGAGCACCGCTTGTATTTGTCAGATGGGGCAGAGGCCCGAACCTACACCCTGGACAAGGTTTCACAGATGGCCTGACCGTTCCTGAGCCAACGCATCAAACAGATTAATTATCATATTACATTTGTCACGACTTTACGTTTCGCTTTTGGATTATCATTGCCGCTTGTCTTCATATTTGTCTCATCGTATTTCGATTGTGGTCGCAGTACAAACAGGTGGAGCAGTACATGTCCTTCCACAAGCTCCCCGCGGACATGCGTCAGAGAATCCATGACTACTACGAGCACCGCTACCAGGGCAAGATGTTTGACGAAGAGAGCATTTTGGAGGAGCTGAATGAACCGCTGCGAGAGGTCAGAAGTAATCTGCTTTGGGGATTTTCACCTCCTGTATAACTGCTACTGGGTCCTAAATACAGTATGTTGATTGCATTGGAAATGTCATCACATCAAATGTAAAGCTGGGGCTTGACAGTTGACGTTCACTTTCACCACCAGTGTCGCCACGTGGGCTGTCTCAATATTTGAAATGTCCTTTACCTTTGGTGGCAAATATCCAAAAAAAAGAAAAAAAGAGCATATTTATGATTTTGCGGCCTGGTGGCGCAGTGGTTAGCACGTCGACCCCACAGTGCAGAGATACCGGGTTCAATTCCAGCTCTGGCCTCCCTGTGTGGAGTTTGCATGTTCTCCCCCCGGGCCTGCGTGGGTTTTCTGCGGGTACTCCAGTTTCCTCCCACAGTTCAAAAACATACATGGCAGGCTGATTGAGCACTCTAAACTGTCCCTAGGTGTGAGTGTGAGCGTGGATGGTTGTTCGTCTGTGTGTGCCCTGCGATTGGCCGGCAACCGGTTCAGGGTGTCCCCCGCCTACTGCCCGAAGACGGCTAGGATAGGCTCCAGAACCCCCCGCCACCCTTGAGAAGATAAGCGGATTGGAAAATGGATGGATGGTTCGATTTATGATTTCATTATTTTTACTTCGTGCACCTGAACAGATAAACTAAACAGTGATCCCAATGGCTCTAAATGGCCTGCACATAATCTCGCTCTATCTTTTCACCATAATATTTACAGTCACGTAATCTCATTAGTAGATGCAAGAGACTGCATGAGGGCCTCATTAAGCGAGCGCCACTATTCACGCAGCTTTCATAATGACTGCAAACGTATCAACTGTACGGCACGCAAATGTCTCGACGATTGTTACGATCGTGCCCCAGTCAAGTCACATATATTTATATAGCCCTTTATCACAAAAAAGTCTCAAAGGGATTCATATACCTGCAGTTCACAAATAGTAACGACATCCCCTGATGTCGGGCAAGGAAAAAAAAAACATCTGTGGAAAAATGAGAAACCTTGAGAAGGGGCCACACATGGGGGAATCTCACTTCCAGGATGATCAGGCTGCAATGGATGTCGACTGGTCAAAATTTTAACATGATGTGGTGCGATAGTACGTTCGTTTGAATAGTGCAAGTGTCCATGTAGTACTCTGTACTTAAGTAAAAATATAAAAGTACAGTTTCTGAAATGTTAAACACAAAAGTAAAAGTGATTTATTTTAACCGTCGATCGTATGCAATCGTTTTTTGGGTAGCTTGTCACAATGGGAAAAAAACCAACAACCCTTTATTCTTTGATTAACTTAGAATAAAAACCACCATGTAGAAAGTATAGATATCTGTTTTCAAATGTAGGGAGTAAAAATAAATAGCAATCAGAAAATATATGTTCATATTATAAATATACTGTATTCTTACTCATCAAGTACAGTGTCCAACTATTTGTACCGCTTGACTTCCCACCGCTACTGCAGGAGATCATCAACTTTAACTGCCGTAAACTCGTGGCCTCCATGCCTCTGTTTGCCAACGCCGATCCCAACTTTGTCACCTCCATGCTGACCAAACTGCGCTTTGAGGTCTTCCAGCCAGCCGACTACATCATCAGAGAGGGAACCATCGGCAAGAAAATGTACTTCATTCAGCATGGGGTTGTCAGCGTCCTGACCAAAAACAGCCAAGACACCAAGCTGTCAGATGGCTCTTATTTCGGAGGTAATATCCCCACACACAACGGGCCGTTTAATGCATACTAATACAACCCCTGGCTGGCAGCGGTTCACTGATGTGAAGAAGTGGTAATAGTCTGCCTTGTTCTGATTTATTTTGCTCAGGCACTCAGCAGATTAACTTCCAGCACTATTGCGGCTCGGAAAAAAATTGTCCACATCATCTCCTTAAAAGGGGCTCGGGACTAAGAGCGGCAGAGATTGTTTGATCTCTGCTTCCATCTGTGGGGTTTCCCCCTTTTTTTCTCACAATATTCTATAACTGAATTGTATATATTTACTCATATGTTTTGATGCGTTGGGACATACTGTATCAATGACGGTTTCGCTATTTCATCAGTCAGGTACAATTTGATCAAACCTAATAAGTAAGTTAAGCCTTTTAGAGTGAATCCATGTCACCGGTGTTCAAACTGCAAGTGAAAACATGTTTGGACAAATACACGGACAAAGAATTCTGTCAGCAGTCCCATGTGTTCATGTGACTAGAATATATTAAATCAATAAACAGGACAGCAAAGTGAGAGCGTGAGAGACCGTGTGTGTTTGTGTCTTTATATCCTCAATATGTCTACCTTTAAAAAGATGTCGATTTTTTTTTTTTTTTTTTCCCCCCCCAAATGGCGCTTTATTTAATTTTTCTGATCTGGCACGACAGATTAGGTCAGGACAAACTGTAAGCTGCAGAAATTGCATTAAGTGCTCCATCTGTGGAGTTCAGAGGCAGCGCTCTTCGTTTTCATCAGCGACCTCTGACTGAAACCTTTTTGCCAAATTTATTTGATTTTGTTTCCGGAATGAGCAAAAACTTAGATATTTTCTCTTTTTATATTTTTATCCTTTTTTTTATGAATCATCTCCAAAACTGTATTTACATGATAAAAATGGTCCTAATATTTTTAATAATAGTCAAATATCCCTAATATTTTTAAGAATAATCAAACACCAAATTTTTATCAGTCACTACAGTGTATAAATTGCATCAGTCAAAAAATGCAGTCGAAAAAAAAAACAAAACTATGAGTCACCCTGAAGTATAAGATGCTTTTTTGGGAGGAAATGTATTTTACAGAAAGCAAGACCAAGAACGGTGGAGCTCAAACTTGAACCCAAAATACAACTAGATGGCAAATGCATTTAACACACTGTAGTTTTAATACGTTGGGTGAATAATATATTCTTCCCGCCCTCCCTGCAGAGATTTGCCTGTTGACCCGAGGCAGAAGGACCGCTAGTGTGCGAGCAGAGAACTACTGTCGCCTCTACTCTCTGTCGGTGGACAACTTCAACGAGGTACTGGAAGAATATCCAATGATGAGGAGAGCGTTCGAGACGGTGGCCCTCGACCGGCTGGACCGCATCGGTGAGAACTTTGGGCATAAAAATTGCAGTGCATTTAAGGCGTTTGACCCTTATGCTAATTTAGAGGCTGCCACATAGTCCTTATATTGATCAGGAGTGATATTTTGACTTATTGTATGATTTGTTTTTTTTCCAGCCGTCAATTACATATATGTGGGAAAGAAAGGGAGCAATGACTTCAATGCTCTCTCCTGTCCCAAAAACACCACACTGTGTTTAATAAGTTTTAAAAAAATCACACTATAGTGTAAAATGTAAACATGAAAACCATAATAAAAGCAATTAGAGGCTGCCCGTTTGAAACACACCGAGGTCATCTCCAGCCATGCGTTTCTCGTTCTTCTTCCTCTTTTAACAACAGGGAAGAGAAACTCCGTTCTTCAGCATAAAGTCCAACATCACCAAAGTTCTGGCACGTTAAACCTCCAAGAGAGCGAGATCATCCAAAGGATAGTGCAGCATGACCGCGACATGGCCCAGTGCACGCGACTGAACCAGACCAGCAACACACAGATCTTGAACATCCCCCCGACACCTTCGGATCCCACCCCGGTCATCTGGGCCCCTCTTGTTCAGGGTCCACTCCAGGCCGCTGCTGCCACCACGCCATTGGCACTGGCTTTGGCTCACCATTCCCAGTTGCCCCACATCCTCTTTCATCATCCTCTCATCCCTGGCTCCCTAAAAGACCCAATCAGCCATCCAAAAAGAACCCACACTGGAGCGCTGCCATCTAGCGTCTGTGGCTCAGTGGCCAATTCTCCCGTGGGTGCGACTAAATTCCGCACAGAGGTTGAGACTCCCACTCTGGCCTCCATCACAGCACCACATCTCTCCACAGGGCCCTCGCCTACTCTGTCATCCCAGCCCATCTTCACCAGCAGTCTCCAGCCCCTGGCCCCTCCCACTCAGGCGACCCACCATCCTCCCCACTCGGGCTTGGCCTCGGTCTTCCCCATCAGCCAAGCCGCCGTCTCCTGCACTTGCACTGCTCAGCTCCACCCGCAGCCCTTCCACGGAGCCATGACCACCCCGCCCCATCCGATCAGTTTGCTCCAGCAGGAGGAGATGGTAGGGCTCGCGGGGAAATTCACGGCCCCCTCCTCCTGCTCCATAAGTCCTCTGATCTCCAGCTCTGTCAGCCCGATTCTAAGCCAGCTGCAGCAGAGCTCTCATGCCATCACACAGCAGATGGGGTCATGTCATGGCAGCGCAGGGAGGATCACCAGCAGTCTGAACTTCCCACATTTTCCCATCATCACCAACACACAGTCCTTCGGTAGGACATCTGCAGGCAGAGGCGGGGCCGCAGCATCCCTGGCACAGCACAGCCTGGCGGGGCTCCATTCGGTTTTCTTGCCGCAGGTTCTTCCCGAGCAGTCCGCCCTCGCTTCCCTGACGCAGTACGGCTCAGCGGAAGCTTCGCCTTGCTACACTCCTCCTCTCCACAGTCCCGGCTTACAGAGCCCGGTGAAGGGAAGGACAGTTTACCAAAGCGAGCCACCCGGGCCCAAGAACTCTCACAACCCTCTTACAGTTCAGACCTCGTGCCCAGCCAAGGTGGCATTTACCATCAGGGAGAGCAGCGATTCACCAGCCGAGCTCTTTACGCAGGAAATAAAGACCATCTCAGGCTCTTACAGTTCTTTACACCACACACAAGACAGACTTTTGGCGATCACCTCAGGGGGGGCAACAAGCTCCTTCTCCTCCCCTGACGCATCCACTAAACCCCAGGTCACGATGGCGGGTCACACCACCGCTGTCACCTGGACATATTCAGGACTTGAACCTCAGAACCAGTTTCTAGCTGTAAATTCTAAAATGTTAGAGAGCCAACACAACCAGTCGAAACTTCCCTCAAGCTTGTGAGGCTCAGACGCACCCTCCTTTCATCAACACAACTCAAGACATCCCTTTTTACCTCCCACTTTGCTCCTTTGAACATAGGAGGGTGTGTGATTCTTATCTGATTATGGATTTCCACCACAGAATGTATGGCTTACTGGTAAGAATGAACTGTTTCTAGAGGATATTTCTCCTTAAAATAGAGTAATAAAGCCCATTTTGTGGGTAAATAGCACCTTATGGAAATAAGAATTTATCAATTTATCTATGAAGTGTATACACAAAATGTGATTCTTCCAGCTGTTTAGCCCTGTTTTCTTCGCTACCTTTTGTCTTCACTTATTTACAGCTTTGTCAAGTTTGATGAAACCCCCCAAAAATATTGTCCTCAAAAAAAGTGTCCCCTCTTCTCAGCTATGAATGCAAAGTTAGTCTAAAGACAACTCAAGGGGCACCGTTGGACTCAAACATGCTCATGGTGGATGCTGGACGTTGACAAGGATCCATCGAATGCACATACTGTATGGAATTCCTAGCACATACGTGGGGTATACACTTTCCAGGTTGGTGACCTGATGATCTTATCTCTCCTTGCTGTTTGTGGAGGATGTTTGACTTTCAGGGCTTTTGGGGGAAATTAGCAACCACAATGAGGAAAAAGTACATCCAAATTTGGAAGCCATGGTTCTTGGAAAAGAATGAATTACCCCATGTGGGTTAGGAGGGAAGTCCTACCTCAGATGGAGGATGTCAAAGTCTTGTAATGAAAGATGTCAAACGTGTCCTGAGCTCGACTGATAGATTGAGGATGCGGTCTATGTACCGGTGTGTCCTGGTGAGGAGAGATTTGAGTCTACCGGCGAAGCTCGCTATTTACCTGTCAATCTACATTTCCCCTTTCACCGTTGGTCTCAAGATTTAGGTAGCGACCGAAAGAGAGAGAAAGTGAAGGTACAAATGCCTGAAAGAGGTTTCCTATGCATGGTGTCCCAGCATATTCGGGAGGAGCAGTGTGGTTTTCGCTTGGCCGTGGGACAATGGACAGACCCCCTCAACAGGGTTCTGGCACTTTGCCCAGCCAACCTACTTGTGCTTTGTAGACTTGTAGAAGGTTTCACCCATGTCCTGGAGAGGATCCTGCGTGAGTATGGGGTCCAGAACGCCATAGTACGGGCTGTTCAGTCCCTGCAAGACCAGTATCGGAGTTTGGTCAGCATTCCAGACAGTTAACAGTATTTCCAGTTCGGGTTGGACTCGGCTAAAGCTGCCCTTTATCATTGATTCTATTCATAACATTTATGGATAGAATGCTTTTTGCAGATGAGGTGATTCTGTTGGCTCTGTCAAGTTGGGATTTTCATCTCTCACTGAAGCTGTGGTGATTCTCTCAATCTTTGGGTCGTGACCGAAAGAGCAAGATCACGGACACAAGCGGCCGAATTAGGTTTCCTCCGCATTGGTGTCTGGTCTCTCCCTTGGAGATAGTCATCCTGGATGGGTTCAGGGTAAGCTGGTGCTTCTCTTTATCAAGAGTAGCCAGATGAGGAGACTCTGACATCTGTGCCTCCTGGCCGCCTTCCGGGTGAGGTGTTCTGAGTACTTACTGATAGCAGGCCCCGGACCCGCAAGGCCTCAGAACCCGCTGTAGAGACTGTCTCTCGACTGGCATGGGAACGTCTCTGGATTCTCCTGGAAGAGCTGGCGCAAGTGGCTGGGGTTAGGAAAGTCAGAGCTTCTCTGCTTAGGATCTTTCTGCCGCAACCTGACCTCGGATAAGTGGAAAAACCTGCGTGGATGGTGTCCGAGCTCAACCTTAGTGAGAGAACTCCGACATCTGTGTAAATGATTATTCAAATCCCTCCTGGAGGTCGCCATGATCAACCACGAGCAGATCCTACAAGAGAACTCTGATGTCCTGGCGGTATTGTCTGTCACAGCGACCCGAGAATGCCATTTTGGCCCTTTTGAGGGAGGTAGGGGAGGTGTTGACCAGTGACAAGTCTGGACACCTCTGCTTAGACTACTGCCCTTGCAAAGAAACTGGATAAATGGATGTTCTTATTTGTCTGTATGTCTTCCAAATTGTTTCAGCAATACTGCACAGCAGAACGGGGCACACAAATCTGATCATATTTGTCAAAGTAGTGAATGTAATGTTTGTCTACCTGGGTGGACCATGTAGGTCATCAGGAAGATTATCCTGAGTGAAAGAGGCAGCATGGTTGTCACTTCGCTGTGCTATTGCAACCTTTTTCAGAGGACAGTTGGGACACCTAAGCCATGCTTTTTGTATATCCGCTCTGTCTTTTATGGCCATGAACGAGTACTGTGAATTGTTAGGATGCAATTAGGAGCGACACGGCAAATGTGAATGTTTCTTGCACCAGTCAAAGGGCTAAAAGCAATTACTTGGGAAATGTGATGAACAACAAATACCGATGGGTCACATTGCTATACATTGACCTCTTTTTCATTGTATCTCATCGAATCACATCACGAACCGAATCCTCTTTTGTGTTAATAACTCCATGTTGCTTAATCGCACCTTGCTGTCAAGAACTCGCGATCAGTCATGGCTTGGCATCCTCGGCGTCGATTAGCTGCCTGGTTTGTGGATCTTGAGGATGAGTCCTGTTGCGACTGTGTGACGCTTTGGGTCACTAAGCAGCCTCTGCCGGTGGACTCGATCAATCCCTCATTACTATTCTCCTCCAAGCCCACAACACCAGAGGCATGAGTGCAGCTTGACTAGAAGGTTACCGTGGGTGCAAGGTGTGCATTTTCCTCGGAAGGTCAGTCACCCATTTCTATATTCAATATTCATTGTTGTTTTTGATGCCTTTGACATCGGAGGATTCCATCTCTTATGTGCATAGAGTATGTGAGCTCTATTTTATGATTTTCGGTATGGAATCCAATGCAATAAATGATTAGCTGCTCAATGATGCTTGTTCTTACTGTTGCCTTATTTACAGAAGCAGAATATGACACCGTGACATTTTTAAATACATGATTACAACATCAGGTATGCTAGACTCTATATTCCATATTAACAAACCCTGAATTCCAGAAAAAAAGCCAACTTTTTGTTCATATCACATGGGATGATGTCACTTCGTATCTCAAAGCACCACTGTACATCTATCTCAACACTGAGCGATAAAATTGCACATGATATTGCACCGCATTGATCATTGGAGAAGAAATTACAAATCAAGAGTTCTTTTTATTAGCTGTTATCATAAATCTTGGTCACTATGCCGTAGATGATTTTTTTTTTTTTCACAAATAGAAAGGACAATTTACCGTACTCCTCTGAGATTTATTGCAACAGTTGGATCCTAGAAGGACCATCAATTACAGTCAATCACCAATAGGTATGCTGTGTTTAGGGCGAGCAATTTGTTTCGGAAATCACACATGAGAGAAGAATGTCAGCAGCACAATTTAGACAATTAATTTTATACATGACCGAAAAAAATCATTGGGCATCTTTTCGGCTGAGTGGCCTGCGTTGAGGAAAAGGATGTTTGCATGTGAGGAGTTAGACAGCATGAGGGAGCAGATCAATATTGTCCTTAGATGGAGCTCAAGGCACAAGGACCACCCTCATGGTGTTGGTGTAACCGGAACCTGGACGCCAGCCGGTCACAACGAGGGCTACGTCACCACTCTTGAAGAACTTCTGGTGCTTGCCTGCACAGGTAACGACAACATCCAGATTTCACTAACAAGGCTTATGATCACAACATGCTTGTCTTTTGGTGACTCCGAAAGTCAGCAGGGTCTAAAACGCTTTTTGGCCACCAGTACTCAGCAGTGGCCTATGCGTGGAAGTTAAAGAAATGTTTAAATCTTGACCCGAGACACATTTCTATTTAATGTTAATGATTAAACGTCACCTAAAATGCAACGAATCTCATTCCCTGACATCTGGATTTTGGCCTGTTTTACAGCCGCTTCTCCTGCCCCACCCCCCACACACACATTTCTTTTTTTTTTACCCTTAAATGAGTTTTTTCAAAGTGTTTCCTTGCCCAGATGAAGGCTCTAGACCAGGGGATGTCATTGATTTTTGTGGACTTGATTTATACAGCAGTCTTACTCATTAAATACTGCATTCCATTCTAATATATTCACATGTCCACACATCCATTTCCGACACCGCTTACCCTCTCCAAGGAGAGCCACGGCAGTGTGACCCACATTCCTAATTACTATACAGGCAAGAGAAGGAGTCATCAATAAGGTTCTACTAATTTTTTTTTAATCCTAGTCGAGTAGTAATAAATTATAATTGAGCTGTACCGGGTTGTGCTCCGCTTGTCAAAAGTACAGTACAGACGTGCATACCTCATGGTCATTTTTGCAGGAGTGACAGTCCCATCAAGGGTTATGAAAAGCATGGACATTAGGTTAGCAATGCCAGAGGCACGTAGCTCGAAAGGATTGTCATGTCTATCCATTCAAATACATGTACATGTACCACTCACGTGGTACATGTACACATCTCTCGAACATGCAATTTTTGGTCCAGTATATAGTTTTGTTTTTAGTTTTTTTGTCAAGCCCTTCTGTAATGGCATCCAATCATAACGGAGGTGGGAAAAAAAGGAAGGAATGAGGACTTCCATGCACTTCCTCCTCCACCGACATCTATACACCCATTCCGTTTTGAGACAGTATTTAATACTCTAATACAAAATTGCAACGTTTCACGATAATCTCATTGAAGATTTCTATCGCCCATCCCTAGGTGCCACTGTCCTCTACTCCAGTAGTCCCCAACCCCCAGGCCGCGGACCGGTACTGGGCCGCACAGAAAGAATAAATAACTTAAATTCCAACAACTTACTTTTTATTTATTTCGGAATCTGAAAGATGTTTTATTTTGAAAATTTATCGGATTCTCTATCACATCTGTCTGCAGTATGTCACTCTTGACGCAGGCGCGCTTCTCGGTCACATGATAGGTTACCGCTAAAATGAAACCCAGGAGCTAGCAAAATGAATAAAAAACAAACATCTTTGAAAAGTTTTTTTTCGGGAAGGGGAAAAGGCCCAGCCAGGAGACAGAAGAGGAGCCTACGACTTTCAAAAAAGAGAAGGCTACATTTAATAGTCCTACTTAAAATTCCCACGCACCTAGCCCACTCTGCGTAATATGCGGCGATGGTGAGTCGTATTTTTCATGCACTTTGTATTTACGGTGTATCTTATTTTGAAGGCAACGAGAGAGTGTTCCGGCCACATAGGACGTTCCTCGTATGATTGGTGTTTATTATCATGTTTAGAAAATACCACAGTTTTCATGTCATATCATATTATTTTGTTGTATTTATCTGCCACACCTAAAGGGCCAGTCCCTGAAAATATTGGCTGAGATTAAACCGGTCTATGGGGAAAAAAAGGTTGGAGATCCCCGCGGCTCTACTCTATTTCATTAAAATGCTTCGGTTACAAGCATGCTTCTTTGTTACTCACCAACTTCCAGGGCAAAGTTGACTCGCAGGTCGACGTCCTCGGCCCAGACGTCGTTGGCGGGTTTGGTGTACAGCACGGGGTAGATACCGCGGTAGAGGTGAGCCTGGCGGGCCGCCTGACCGCAACGGGTCACGGCGATGATGGGTGCACGGGGCCTGTACCTGGATAGCATGTGAGCAGACCTGCACGAGCACAAACCAAGTTCCCAAAACATTTGAACCCTTTGAAAGGTAGTTACAAAAAGAACAGTTGATTGGAAGTATTCTATATGGAAATATACTTCCTCTGTGGCAATTATTATTCATTGACATGGCAATACACGGGTGTTGGGTTAAATTGAGTGACTGGAAGAATATTGTGGCTGTCGGAAGTAAACATCATTGCATTAAAGGAGATGAATAATTTGAACCCTTTCAAAAGAGATTCACCTCAAACTCAATTCAATTACAATTTTCTCAGCAGAAGCAGTGATAAGTCTTTGACAGTACAACAAATAGATATTCATCTCATACCTGTTTATATTCTCCAACGTTTACATTTTGTCAAAATGAGCCCAGCGGGAATGTGACATCAATTTAATGTTCAATATTGGATTTTGATGCCATTTTGATGTTGAATTGACATCAGACGCCCACCGGGAATTAAATGTTCAAATTGTGTCAATAATGTCACTACTTTTTTTCAATCCAATCCAGTAAATCTTTTAACTTCAGTTGTACAGTATTTAACTACTATTATATACAATACATTTGCATTCAATCTTCAATCTTATTTTTATTGAACCCCAATGTGCAAATATCTTTTAACTGTAACGTCATTCAAGTACAGTATGACTTTTTATTTTCCTGTATTTTAGTGCAGTGTTTATGTTCAAAAACAATGCATAATGTTTGGATGGCCTCCAACAATGTTAAATACAATTTTTTTAAGAAAAAAAAACTCTGACTTGTTTTTGAAGACTGAGGCCAACTATGCTAAATGTATTTTAAAGTTGGCCATACGGTAAATATTGTTTGAGCTGGCATTTGGTGGAAAAAAATGGAAAACTAGCGCTCATTGTACTACATTTGTGAGTGACAAATTTGTCACATGAGAATATTTGTACTGAATGTACAGTAGCTACTGTAAATTCAACATCCCTTATTGGGTTTGACTGTTGCTTTCATGTTGACGAGTAATCAAAGTATTTTCTCTGTCGCCGCTACACGCTCCTAAAAAGCGAGGCGCTATTTGTCGGTCAGCATTTCATCACTGGCCAGGAAGTGGACAGGAGGCATTTGGAGCTTTTCGGGGCACGCTGACATCTGGGAACAACTTGCTGACAGCAGTGAGGCTGAATCAAATTGAAAAGTTGCAAAGTGAAACAATGAAGGAAAAAAATGCGATAAAGCTCTGCGGAGATGAGAGGGCCTCATCACAACATGATCTTGCATGTGTAGTGGAGCACGTTGATGAGGGCCATAGAAATGCAACTGGAAATGTTGGCAACGTGGGGGAAAAAAATGGCTAAAAGACTTTCTTCAACGTATGAGCAATTTAACAGTTTTTTTTTTCCTCTCTCTCTTTTTGTCTTCTTTAGTTCACCTCATTATCTTTCTCATCCTGAGATAATGTTTGTATGTATTGCTTTAATTTTTAAGTCAACTACATAGAGTGTATGGGGGGGGGGGGTATATTCAAAACATTTTAGAGGTGACATTGTACCTGCCCAACTAGTTCTCCAGCAACTGTAAATGGTAGTAAGAAATGCTGATGTGTGATGTTCTATCAATCATAAGCACTTCACTACCCATGAAAAAACAGCTGCCTGTATCACATGCTTTTTTGAGGATGAACTCCTTCGTGCGAGGAATGAACAGGGAGTTAAAATTATCGTGTAAAATGTCAGGGTTCAGCTCCCAAAAGGTCAGAAGTGGCTCACTCAGACTCGAGCCAGGGGCGGGGGGAGCTTTTCTGTGGAAGGCACAGACGGACGGACGGGGTGGTCCGATTCTAACCTGCCGGTTTTGGTGAGCACGATAATGGCGCTGGCGCAGCACTTGAAGGACGCCTCCACTGTACCGATGGCGACGGTTTCCGTGGGGTCGCGGGTCAGGTGGGAGGTGCGACGCAGCTCTTCGAACATCTGCCTGTGGAACATGGCGGCCTCGGCTTCACGGGCGATCTGAACATGGGGATGGGGGGGGGTGGTTGCGAGAAGTGGGAGAAGAACATTTTCTCTCGCACCAATTCAATTTGAAGTCTTATCACGATATTTTTGCTCACCGTTACCATACCGTCAGAACCTAATATCGAGCCATGCCTCATGGCGCGCTGGTTGGGAATCATAGTCCCGACCCTGAAAGGCCCTGATGACCCCCTCACCTGATGCTGTGTGCGGACTGCCTCCAGGGGGTAGTCCCCCTTGGCCGTTTCCCCGCTCAGCATGATGCAGTCGTTGCCGTCCAGCACGGCATTGGCG